TTAGTTGGCCGAAAACTGGGTAATTGGGGTGCGCTGAAATATTCTTTAGCGATAACCCAGGAACCTTTAACAAGCTGAGCAAGCTGCACTGTAATTGTATTAAAGTTTCATAAGAGATGTGTCAAGTTGCACGAAGTCTGGGAACTTATCGGCCAGCTATTACCAGGCAACGCCGACTACGAGTTCATTAACCGTTCTCTCAGCCGTTTCACGGAATAATACACATCTATTCTGTCGCAACTTTCGTGCTTCGCGTTTCCACAAACACCCCCGCTCGGTTACCTTTCTCCGCGACTATTTATCTTTCTTCTTGTCCCGTTCGTGTTTTCTTTCGTTCCTCGCGAGCTGCTCGTCTTTCGACCTTTTTCTCGCCCCCCCCCCCCTTCATCGTCCTACTCTTTCTCTCATCAGACGCGACCCCACGCGCCCATCTACCCCGATTTTTCTCGCCGTTCCGTTAGGCTGTCCCGGAAAATATCGCGCATCCTATTCGCTTTCTGTAGAAATAAAGCTTGCCCGTAGGGTCAGTGGCAAACTATCGGACCTAACTGGAAGCTGCATTTATTAGAAACTCTGGATGAAATTGTATTCAGTGATTCCAAACGCGTAGCGACTACGGGCGGGAATGGTAGGGATAATAAAGTAAGGTTTCGAGGAGGGCAATATTTTCTGGGGCATCGTAATACTTCAGCTCGCTTTCGTTAAATGTCCGCAGCTTCCTCTCGATTCCTTTTTCGTCTCCCTCCCTTGTTTATTGCCGGGCGGCGTTTCTTTCAACCGGCGAGCAAACACGCGTCCCAAAAGAGGTCGCCCATTCGTCTACGTCCCCCGTCGTTCGTTCCGCGGATCTACGTGTTTTGCATCCGGCACTTTTCTCCCGCGCGATCCACCTAATGCATCGACTTCCGCGAGCGTCGCTTCCTCCGATTCCAGCACCTTTTTTCTGTTAACGTTTCCGCCCTTCTGGCAACCGTCTTCGCGCATCTCGGTCCCGATCGTTTCCACCGCCATTTGCCGTTTCTTCCAAACGGATTTCTTTCATCGCTCGCGATAGCGCGACGAGGAAGAAAGGAGCTGTCTCTCGAGCAGTCGATTAGATACGAAGCGAGGTGACTTCGCGAATTTTTGGAATTTATAACGAATAAATACACGCGTAGTTCTGAAAAATAAACACTCGCCCACTCGAATAGAATTCGCGCGAAATGGTGAAAATAATAAGAGCGTGATACAACGGCGCATATTTGTTCCGTTGTAAAATTTCGGGACGACGGGACAACACGGAATTCATGGGTCGTTCGTTGAAAATAATGTCGAAATCGCGCACCACAGGCGACCTGAATAACCCGAAACGAAGCGTTCTATAATTACAGTCCATTCACTATCCGCGCGTATAATTAGGCGCGTGACGCGAAAGAACGTTGAAAACGCAGCAATTGTAACCGCGGCGGTACAATACGGCTGTAATTTTTTCCTGCGGTTCGAAAAACTCGTTTAACGACACTTCCGCCTCGGAGCTACCCAATTTCGAGCGTTCGGGTAACACGTGGCGATGCGCGCGAAAAGAATTCCAAGCCTCGATATAGTCCAAGTCCCATCGTTTGCATAAAGTATATTCGTTGTTCTCGTTCTAGCAGCGATCGTGACTACAAGTTTTAACCGGAAATTCGAAGATTGAAGCTGTCCGTCCGACGCTCGTAACCACGATGTAACGAGATTAATTGTTTTCGGCCGACTGCAGTTTCCTATTCGCGTCTCGCGAAAGGCTTCCTAGCCGATGGCGGCCGCCTCGATCTCAGTTTGATTAATTAGTCCCATTTTCCAGGGAGCCGGGAACACGGTGTCGGCGGTGGCTAACATCGAAAATTAAACTCATCTCCTCTCTCCGCGTGTTTGCCACCTCGTCGACGATAACAACGCGTATCTGGAAACCAGACTCGGGGACTACGAACATACCTGGAAACTAATTCTCGACTTCGAGCCATCTCCGTGGTCGTCCGTGACCAGGAAGTTTCTTCGAGCGAGAAGAATCGTACGTGCACGAGATTGCTTGCAGCCCGTAATACGATCTGCTAGGAGAGCAATGTTGCCGGGAAAAGTGGTCGTTTCGGTTGGTGTTCGTGGAAACCGTCCTAGTGTATTCAAGGGCGTTTGTTCTCAGGAATTGAACCCCGTTGTTGCTGTTGCACACGGGGGGGTCTTATCGACCGTTTTTCTTTCATGTTCTTGCGTTCGTCAATCATGAATTTTCCAGACCGTTGCGCGTTTTCAACATTTTTCCGTTCCGCTCGTTTCAAGTTGTTATTTTGCTTTCCAGTTCGCGCCAATTTAATTGGACACATTTCAGAAACAACTGGGGTTTTCGGAGTGTTTCGTGGAAATTTTTTTCCGGAATTTTCCCGAGTTTTCAAACATTTCCTGTTTATATTCCGCCTACCATTTTTGCTTTCAATTTTGAAAGCAAGTTTTCCGAATATTCATTAGTGCTTCTAGAGCTTCAATTATCCCGGTTACCTTCAACACACTTTTCTTTTTATCTTTGTGTGAGGAATTTTTCCTTTTAGTTTTCATTATTTTCTGCAATCTAGCCGGGGTTTGTTCCTATCCTGCTTTTTAATAACGAGTGGAAATTGCCCGAAAAAAATCAGAGTGCACTTTTGAGGATTCGAACTCAAGACTCTCGTAATCGTAGCCGGGCACTCAAGCCACTGCGCTAACGTTTAATTATTCATTTTTAAATGTTGATATATACTTTTTATACGCACGCAGAAAATAGTTCATCGTTCTTTCATAAAATTCCACCAATTTTGCATGCGAGTGACGTTATTTCAGAAATTTTCAATATTTGTTTGTTGATTCGACCGTCACGGACCTCGCACCGAACGCGAAACAATATGACTCCTCTGTTTCGGATTAATAGAATTTGAAAAATCAGTGACGCCAGGAACACGTTCTTCTTCCATCGCTTTTCGTCGATAAATCCTTATTTCTTAATAAAAAAAATGCATATTTTTCACTGTGGTTTCTTTTGCGTGAAATTAGAAATCTTTATCTTTATCAAAATTATATTTCATTGAATAACGGTGCAAGACTGACGCCAACGGGGCAACGTCTAGTCTCGAGTTACTCGCTTTCAAGTTCGATTTACGGTTTGTATCCCTACAAGTCCCGTCCCACCGAAGGAGCATCGAAGTTCTCTCCCGCGTAAATTACCGCCGTCTCGATTTCGACCGCGGAAGGAGTTCGTCTACTCATTATCGGCGGTCCGTTTAATTATCCAACGCACGCCGACGGAGAGTATCGAAGTTCCCCGCGTTCGGGGTAACAAACGAGCGGCATCGGTCGGATTAACGCGAGACCGACGCGCTCGCGCGCGGCTCCGGGACGCGTGTAACTACGCGTTTCGCGTTTAATTACGGCTTCAGTGTATCATTAATAAACATCAATACCCGCCCCCCACCTGCATCCCAGCCGCCCGTCCTTTGCCACGCTCTGTTATATTAATTGGCGACGTTACAAGTTAGAGAGTTGCAAACGGTCGCGTTCAATGGGGGATTTCATTCGTGCAAAAGGCTCGTCGTTAATACTACCAAGGAAGCTCGAAACATTCCTTAATGAATCGTTGTGGGTTCGAGACACGTAGCGATTTTAAATCTATGCTTCTCAGGCTAAAATCTAACTTTATACGTGGAGAATATTTAGTTCTATCGAAATGGATACGACTTAAATTAGTTGACAGTACACTCTCGCTCGATGACTGGATTTGTTCCCCGCCTAAAAGACGCGAAATTAGAAAATTGATACAGAGGTTCACTGTGCCTTGTGATAAGTATTTTTTGTCGATCCCAAGTGAGTAGAAAAATGGTGATTGAAAGAGCGAAAAGAACTTTAGGGTTAGAATTGAGCTTCTGGTTAGGAGTAAGGGTGTGATACCTCGAGGGCTTTGGCGTTCATTAAAGTGATACTTTTCCTTTGAACATAATTAAAGGGGTGAAGAATCTTGATTCGAGATAATCGAGGAAGTGAAGAGTCGTGATTTGAGATAATTGCGGCGCGCGAATACTCGAGACTTTGAGGGATCGTCCTCTTATGTAATATAATAAAATAATTTGAAGTCTTTTGTCGGTTAATACGTACAGCATCGTGGAACGTCATTTGTTCATGTATCCTGTACTACTTGGAGTTGTTATTTTGCATTTAAAGACAATCCTGCTGCTTTAATACAATTAGAAACATTGTTCAGGCGAAGCAGGGATGAATTCATGCGATTTGACGTCCAGACGTGTCCCGGGAATAATAGTGTTTTCCGTCCCTCCGTAGGAAATCGATATTGCACGACCGTGTTCCGTTTCGCAGGACGCAGTATCCTTTCAAGATATTCAATACGAATTCATAACATATTCAGCATAGATTGTAGCTTTTGTCGGAATGAAAATGAGTCTCTGTCGAAATTTCAAGGAAACTCGGTCCTGAAGGGGCACGTTTGCAATTTCTGTCGTAACTTTTCCATTCAGAGACTTTAAAAAATGGAAACTTCTGGGTCTCTCGGTATTCATGGGAACGTATGGTGAATGGTCCGTCAGGGGCGCACTATGCCCGCCTCGTTAAATGCATCTTGGAACGCGTAATAGAAACGGTCGTACAAAAGCAGGTACATGTTTCCATTTAAAAAATGGTGGGTTTCGTTTCTGAAATATTTGCCAGGAATAATCCAAGTACCGTAATTTTTAGTCGTTGCTCGTTGTAGAATAATTGTTTAACGCTTGAACAATTCCTTTGGTTAATAAATTTTCTAAACGTATCGAAGGTAGTCAGAACAATGTTATTAATGAATAATTAGGCGACTTTGCGGTTGACGAGGGTTTCTAATCTTTCTTAACAACCCGAAGCAAAGTTCAAGAAGGCAGATCGCGACCCAGGAGGAACATTAGACCTAATCACGGCACAGCAGCGTTACGAGCGTTTCTGAACAGTCAGCAAATGAACGAAAAGGGGCCACTTACCTGACTGGGACTGCACACTGCACCATCGGCAAGACGACAAGGTATCTCACGAGGGGCATGATGGAGTCGTTGAGGGTGGCAACAAGGGTCGTTGCAGTCCTCTTCCCACCCGCAATCACACTCTTCGCCATCTTCCACCACCCCGTTACCGCAGATGGCAGTCTGGGGTTCTGAGAAACCATCGATTCTCCATTACACTCCAATAAACGTAGCTCTCGACGTTACACGTTAATTTTGATTTCATATTTTCTCGCGTTCCGTGCCAACGACATCGTTCGTTCTTGTTCTTGCACGGACCATTCGAACTTCCCGAAGGAAACACACTGGCTTTTCTGATATCCTAATCTCCACATTTTCCAATTTTCCAATGCCCTAATCTCTATATTTTCTAATTTCCTAATGTTTTAATTTTCCCATTTCTAAGCATCCGAGAGTATCAGAATTTATTAGTACACCGAGTTCTGCCATAAAAGTAGATAATTCTATTTAAGAAGAAGAGAGATAGCGAAAGGAGGCGAGGCGTAGCAAAAATGCTATAAAAGGTAACCTCATTTTACACCTCCACCTACGAAAAAATATTACTCATACGAGATTACGTTCCTCCCCCTGAAGCCAAGGAAGATTTATTTGAAGCATTTTTGTCTATCGCCAAAAGTAAATGAATTATTCATGCGGCCTCTCTTAAGTGCTTCACCCTGTGTGTGTATTTGCAGCCAAACGAAGTCTTTCGGAATTCCGGCGTAACGCTAGATTGCTCTGATTCTGAGCGAGCCAAGAACGAGCCGCGAATAGAAGCAAAGTAGATGGAATAAATGTTAACCTGATTTGTTGCCAGCTTAATGAAATCCTGGATTTAATGAAGTCCAACAAGTCGGCCGTGGCCGCGTAATAGAATCAATTGCGGGCCGCGATTCCTGCACCGTTCTGTTTTCACATCGGCTACAATTTTAACGCAGATTCTTCTTACACTTTCAGGCGAATATTTGCGCGCCACGATACGAACGTTCTTTTTCGATGTGGAAGAAGAAGAGAGAAGTTTCTGCTACGCGATGGTTACGCGATACGTTTCGCGCTCCATTTCAAAGTTGTACTCGTAAATACGTAAAAAAAAAAACTTTGACTTTTAGTACCGTAGCAACATTTTTTTTGTAAATTAAATGGCGCGCGGTAGAGTTAACATTTTGATTGTAATCAACGTGTATACAGGATGCTGCGTGTAATTCTATTGCGTGGTTCCCCTCGTTCGTGGCTCGTTCATTTGTGCCGCAAAAATTCATTGTTTCGTACGAGTTTCGAGCGACTTGCTTTCTTTTTTTTTGCTCGTCGGCATGGCCGGACAGAGGGATCTTTGTGTCATTAACCATTAACGTGTCGTATCTGTTTCCTGTTTGCGCGATTCGTCGCTCGTTTGTTTGTACGTTTGTGCGACCAATGCTCGTTGCCCGAAACGAGTTTCGCGCGGGCCATGTACAGTCCGCTATTAGAATTGCAATTGAGTTGCAGTTAGACCCTGGGTCAATCGATATTCCGTAGCAACGATAGCGCTTCTCTTTTTTCCCCCACGCAGTGCGAATTTATTAACGAACCAAAGGTGGATTAGAAAAACTACGATTGCATTTTATCGAGAGAAAACAAGTAAAGAGAACTCGGCGGGCTCGAACGTCAGCCACCAAGTATTTTTACTGCATAACAAAACGTTTCTTAACTTCCCAGAACTTTACTCCAAGCTTTAAATCTCCCGTTCAGACGAATCCACCATAGAAAACTTGTCTTCTAATTTCCCCTACTCTCGAATTTTTCTAGGTACTGATTTTTCAATTTTCCATTTTCCTAATATTTCAATTGTTCATTTCCCTAATTTTATGATTTCCCGAGACCTGTTCAAGCCTACGGGTTCTCTACGTCGAACAGTTTTCATGTTTCAAGTTCTGAACACGTCAACACAAAGCTCGTTCATTGCCAGTTAACGCTATCTTTCGCGCAGCTTCACGGCGATTGTATAAATAATTAATTCAGCGATCGTGCGAACAGGAGATCGATACTGTGGGGTCAGGGCTGATGACTCGAAGCAACGCAGCCTCTGACTCTGTTCCAAACTAATTAAAATTCCGAAAGCTCCTCTACTCACCGGCGAAGCAGCCTTTGGTCGAGCGGGCCTTGGCATTTAGAACGGGATTTATGGAGACCAAGCTGCACGGGCTGAAGCGATTGTTGTTTCGTTTGTCCCCGCTGGTGGCTCTGGCAAACATTATGAAATTTCCGTCCTCTCCTCCGGGTGAACATTCGTCCGGGTCGTGCTATCACGTTAAGAGAAAGAGAAAATGTTAACCTGCCTCTGGATCATTTATTATGAGTAGTGCTAGGAAGGACCTTGCTCCTGTGAAAGAAAATTCAATTAACTTTGATACCAGGAAGCTTCTTTGTCCCAAAAGCTTTCTGTATTTGAATCGCTCGTTGAAACAGAAATTCTTGTACTCCGAATATTTCAAGTTTTTGTTTAGAGGAATAAAACAGGGATTTTCAGCCGAAATCCTATAGCCCCCACACATGAGTGAAAAATATACAAAAATCGTACAACTTTAGGGGGCTCTAATCGGATTTTCTATTTTCTGTTTACCTTTCAACCATCCATCTGGCTTTAGTTAATATATTTATATAATATTTCAAATTCGGAACCAACTCGAAATTGAGGAAAGCGGTAGTTTTCTAACAACCCTATTTTCCGTGGTTAAAGGAAATGACAATTTCCCAATTTTCCTAATCATTGATTTCCCAATCTGCTAATGTCCCCAAAGTTTTCAATTTTTAAATTGCCCCATTTTTCCACTGTGAGAGTTTGCAAATTCCCTAACATCCGAACTAGTTGCTCGAAGATTGTCAAAAATTTGGTAACGCACGTTGTTCGAATTGTTTCGCCCCGAGGGGTTGCACGCGTGAAGTTTCAGTAATATTCAAAGAATCTGTCGCTCGATTATCTCGTACATTGGTAAAATTCTACGGGCGTTCCTAAAAAGTGTCTGATTTTACGTCGATCTCCTCGAGCGTAAGATGCAACAGGGTTTGCGTTTACGAGCAGAGTAATGAATCAAAATACGAGCGGTATCAAGTTAAATTACCCTCGGTTCTAACATTGCCGCACCAACCCCTAAAACTTTTCACGTGTATTCGGCTTTCACGTCGTAACATGCAAGCCCGATGCACTGGCAAACTTACAGGGGATCCGAAGTTGTGACCGATCTCGTGTGCTAGGGTGACGTGAGAAACCGTCGGTGGTACGTGCTTGTCGTAGTTCAGGAGGGTGATTATACCGGTGTTCAGCGATTTCATGCTTCCCCTGTAGTGCTGCAAGACAAAGTGGTGTTAGTTTTAAGGCCAGGGTCACTTGTACCAACCATTTTCAGAAGTCTGACGTTCAAAATAAGCGTCACGAGCTCTAATTTTAATAAAGTCTACTGACAAACTTACAATTTTAAGATCGGATTTAATAGACTTAAAAATGCTATACCCAGCGTTTGTTTAAAAAAGCTATTTATATCGCGAATTTGGATTTAACGAAAGTACTGTGATCGAAATATTCAGAGCGTGAGAGAAAAAGTTACGTCGAAGGGTGTTGGAAAGTAACTTTCCGTAAGTTTAAGAAAACTCACCCCATTTTTCTCGCAGACTCCACCCGCATTTTTCAAGTCCCCTGTCCACGCCAATCCCAAGGTGCCTTTCTCAAAATCGCGATACGTGAACATGTATGACAGACAGAACGCGTCGTAGTCTTCCTCTGCAATAAATTGCAAATATTTCACGCAATTATACCTTTAAAAAATGTGAATATATATAACAGAAGGGGTAGTAATGGACGAAAAGAGATTTAAAACGTTTCCACCCAGATTTACTCGTGGGAAATTGTTCGTACACTATTTCAAGTAGTACGAGTCAATAATAGTCGGACGCCCTTTTAAGGAAAAGTTCCATTTGCTTCGTAATTAATCACAACTCTTTGATAACGGAGATCAGAGGTTACAGAGCTATTCTTTATTGAATTTGTTCTATTTTCTGCACTGCAACCGTGACGACGATCTAAATAACCCAGCGGTGCATTCACCGTTTAAAATATAAGCCGACGATGTACGTGTGGCCTTGAAAAGTTCAGAATATTAGACGAATACACTGGACGTTCGTAAACAAACCCTTCCATTGAAATTCACGAGCCACGTTCATGGAATATTCATGGCTGAATGCTTTTTTTGAGGGTGGCAGGAAGGAGAAGGGGGGAAAAATGCCGCCAAAACTTCTGAGAACAAAAAGGGCGAACAAAGGGGGTGGAAATGGGGCCGTGGACGAGCAGACTCTTTTTTTCCATCTCGTTTCATGCACTCGGGCCGGACACCGATCCCCAGCGGAGGGAAGTTGCCACGGCATAAAAGTCCTCCAGAAATTAAATTACTGGACGCTTTGGACGCCTGATTTATTATTTTTGCTGGATAACATCTAGGACGATGTTCGTCCGCGTCGGCTGGGAATTCAACCCCTCAACTCCCTCCCATGAAACCGCCGCCCGTCCCGACCCCCGAACCCCGTCCCCTCGACGCTTCCGTGACGGCAGGAACAGCCAGGTAAAATACTGCCAACGACAATGGGGAAATTAAAAACGAAATTAATTAAAGGCTTTCAAAGAACGGCTATTTGCCTTCGTCGGTCGAAAAAACCCCGACGAACCACTTCCTCCTCGATTGAATTCAAACGAATCGTCGAAATAGATACGCCGGTTTTGGATTTCTCCCGCGCGAATGTATAATGCAATCCTCTCCGGAGAAAATGTCACGAAATTCTGGGAGAATTTTAACAATATTCCATGTCGTTATAAACGCGTGCTTTAAATCTCTAATTCCATTACGCCGAAAGGTCCTCCCAGGAAGTAATAATTTCAGAAAAATTAGGAATAAGGTCCTTTCACGTGTATTTCACTTTGTACCTTGATTTAATTAATTTAAACGCGAGCGTTGTCCAAGCATACGTTACCTTAATAATTTTCTATTATTTTAAATTTCTATTAAAATCATTTTTCAAGTGGCTATTACTGCAGTTTCGGTGGCCCAGAAAAATTATGAGCAAAGGAAGCGTTGCTAATCGTGATTGTATACTCTCTCTAGAAAAAAAAAATGGCAGCTATAATCGATGCTGGAAACCGATATACTCTCGCTTCGGCGGGCAAAAGCTCTGGCGGTCCCCTAGGAATGTACTTCTCTTCTTAGCAGAATGCTTACGTTTTTTTTTTTTTTTGCAATCTGAATACGCCGCGTTGGCCTTTTGGAATTGAACGCCGGTTGCATGTTTCCGCTTGTGCGCGTCTCAGGAGGCATATTCGGTTACCGGACGCCCGCGGCAAACACGTCGTGGTCCGCGTACCTGTTCCTCGATTCGCAGAATATCAAACGAAACAGTACATCGACGTCCGTGTACACCGAGTTGTTCAGCGAGGCAACATCGGCCTCTCTTGTCGATAGCAATTCATCGCGAGCATGAACGGTGCTTGTTTTTGCTGTAAAAACCGTGTTACACTCTTGGATAGGTTGACGCCACATGTTTTCGCCGCTCAAGGTCGCCCCCCACTCTTTACCAGAAAAGGGGAATCGTTTACAGTAAACTTGCACGCAGTGAACAGTGTTCTATTCTTTATGCAATCCACTTCAACTTGTTTCGTCACAAAATCGGTGAGATTAAAAAACAATATTAGCTTTTTTAAAATTTTGTCCTTACGATGTTCAAAGTTACTACAAAGTTACCTTTGTAGCCTTATTTTGATTATCATGTTCTACTACTTTATTATATTATAAAATATAGATTGGTTTCGCGAGTGTCTTAAAAAGTAAAATGAAAGATCGTTTTATCGAAGTAAAATGATGACCTTGAGTGACCAAAATATTTGGCGTGCACTTGAACCAGTCCAGAGGCGCTACTGTCTACGATTACCGAACTTTGTGGAGCATATTTCGAGCAGGCGTTGTTTAACAACGCCTCGTTCGCGATCGTTAGCGAAATATGAAGCGGAATATTAGTTCGAAGACGACGCCGACGCTTTTGAAGCGTCGCTATTATGCGCGTCGCGAGACGTTGTCGCGTTATCGTGACGCGCAATAAAAGACCCGTACGTGTTGCATTGTGTACGTTTTCTGCATTTTCGGTGCGGTGCGCGCGGGGATTCGAAGTCGCGTCTCGGCAAAGAAATTCCACGCCGTTTCTAAGAATTCCAGATTACATTTTTTCCCCCTACAAGATTTCATATTTCTATATCAACGAACAAAACGCAGGATAGAATTCGAACGTCCGCGTTATTGAATTCGTAACTTTATTTTGTGGGCCGGATGAATTTAACGAATGGACCACAATTCGACCGCAGACCGAACTTCGCGTACCTCTGCTCTAAACGGTATCAGAGCTTTCGATCGATAGTTCCAGACTTTCTCCTCTTCCATGTCGCGAGTTTTATTGTGTTCCTCGCCGACGGAAACTTTTTCTTCTTCGTTCCTTTTTTTTTTTCTCTCTCGTTTCGGATCCGCATAAGGGAAACGAGAAATTTCCGAGGTTGGCCATGATATTGCTAGATCGGTGCCAATGGAATGACCTCGGGGCATTGTCAGGAATTATCGAGCTTCGCATTCCGATATTCTCTACCTCCCGCAACGAGCTGTTGTACTTATCTCCGTGGATTCAGTTTCCCGGCCGATGAAGAGGCGCCGGTGGAAAAGTGGATTAGCAGACAAGCTTCCGGGATCGCGGAAGAAATTCAAAGAAATATTTCTATGCGGCATTTGAATGTAGAAAAATTTCATCAGTCTTAATGAAGCTTATACAGAGCGGCGCATTTAAGACAGGTCGCGCGGGCAACTCGTTTATTTTTTCATGCTAAGTAATTACTTTATTTCACCAGGTCTTCAAAATGTTCCGTCGTCACGGCATGAACATTTTATTACTCGCTTCTTTACAATTTTCATCAAAGAAATCGGTTTTAACATTCGTGCTGATCGATTTCTTTAAACTGGTTCGAATACAAGAATCTGTAGAATATATTAGAATTGGTCGAATTAGACATTCTAACTTAATGGGACTGTTGTTATTTATTTCATCACAGGTACAAGCTTCATTTGAATTGAAATATTGTTTAGTAGGAATTAGACAATGTTGAGGGATCGTAAATCAAATGTAGAACAGTAGATCAATCCTAACTAGCCAGGTGGAACGGGGCAGTCTCTGATCAAACAAGTAGAATACGTCTCTCATTGGTTAGACGAATAGAGTAACATGATCAGCGATCAGCCAAGCGGAATAAGTGTATCATCACTAGACAAACAGATAGGATCCCGTGTTCGGCCAAGTAGAATGGGCCAAGCTACAATTAGACACGTGGACCCGACGTATTCATAGCTGGTCTAGTAGAAGAGGTTTATTGCTGGCACGGGACGTGCAACATGCCCCATCCGCGTTCGATCAATCGACGAGAGGATCGTTATTAGCCAGACAGTAGAATCGGATCGTCGCTGACCAGACGAGTAGAAGAGATTCGTTAGTTTCCACTTATTTAACTTGGATCTCCCGTGGCTACAGTTCAAACGAATGGGGCTTCCCCGTTCGACGCGCAGAAATAATGCCCGATAAAATTGTTTTTCAATCCGTCGAACGAAAAATATATTTCGCCAGGGCTACCGACCGCGCGATCCTGCTTATTAATTATCGAGTCAGCCTGCAAACATTTTGGCCAAAATTGCGTAATTACTGCAGACAATGCAAATTCGAACGGCGAAGGCTGTCGCACCGGACATAATTTATAATAACATTTTAACACGATCGATAACGCGCTACATCAGTGAAACAGAATTATAATATTCATAAACGTTCCGAAATGATTGGATATCGATCGTATCGCGGTTCAATTTTCATTCACCGTTCGACGTTACATAATCGACAATGGGTCACGTTTCTCGGGTTTGAATTATTAAAAATAAATTCATTTGCTCGGAGTGTCTTACGTGACCCGGGTTTGGATCGTTTCCCCAATTTATTTATATGCCAGAGGCGTGTGTAGAGGCAAACGGGCGTACAGTGAGCCTCGAGATGGAATTTTAATCTTTAATTAGCTATTGGCTCGAGCAGTTTGTAGATAGCGAAGCGCAACCCGATCTTGCCAGTCGGGTTATGCAGGCTGAAAGTGCCAGAGAAATATTCATGAATTCTGTCTCCGGAACAGCCGGGTTCTATTGACGGATTGAGACAAAGCGACCGGCTTAAATCAGCTCGAAGGAACGTCGAAAGCAACTGGATATATCATGACCCCAATAACCCTAACCGACGGAACTTGGACCGCATTGATCTGCGACTCATTAGCGTTCGCGATGCGACCACGGTAATAATTAATCTCGCCTGTCCGGAAACTTTAACTTTGTTTCACGGGAACTCGAATACGGCACGGTTACTTAGTCGTTGCACCCATGAATTTCAATGTTGTTCAGCCGCCGAGCGTGAACAGCTAACTGCAGCGTGGCAGATTTCAGGTAACCAAGATGACACCCGTTAGCGTATCGAAGATTCCGTTGAACTGCGAGAATAGCATCGGGGTCACCTGGACCAGCGATTAGTCGACAGTCGATCGAAAATCGACGATAACGTTTCTCCAACAAACGCGGAACAGGAGAATGCTGTTCGTGCCAATTGCTGGGTCCAGAGAACATAAATCGAGAGTATAAATCAAAGGCGAGAGCCCGATGGTTCCGTTTGACGTTTTAGGGATCAAGAAAAAGGAAGCTGGGGTCCGTTTGACCGGGAGGTTCCGACTCGTCCCGGTCAAAAGAAAAAGGGCTCGTTTTCATGCAGCGTCGTGTATCCCATACAATCTCTGTAATTCAACCTTCTCGCGTGTTTATTAACCGCGGTATTAGGTAACGAAGAATGACGACGGGAGACGCTTCAAAGGTTGGACGTGTGCGACACTCAACGAGTGCTCGTACGATGAACCAGGATGACCGGCGGCGTTCCGACGGACGTCGCCGGGACGCTTTTCATTAAAGGTGAGACGTTCGAGCGAATATTTCCCCAACTGCGCTTTATTGACTACCCGGACGTCTCATTCAGTTGTTAAAAAAAGCCACGACGTTCTACAGATCGATGAATTAAAAGCAATCGTCGTTGGAACGTTGAGCAGAATGAAATTATTTCCTGTAAGATTCTCCAGTCGTAGATCAGAGAAGTGAAATGGGATCGTAGACGATCAGGGAAGTGTAATAAACTGGACTGATAGATCCGTTTGCAAAGTTTTATTAAGATGTAGTAGAACAATTAGCCATATATCGGACAAGTGGAACTGCTCAGAGTCGAGTCAGACAAGTAGAACAGCCTCGTGATAAATGAAACAAGAAGAACTGTCCTGAACCAAATCTGAAAAGTAGAACAGTTCTAAATAGAGTCGATCTTGATTCATCGATGGATTCCATTGCATCCGAGTTTCGAAGTCTCATTGTTCGTGTGACGTTCGAACGGACATTCGTATAATCTCAAGGAACGTCCGGCAGAAATTTATCGACGATAAAGTGGGGGATTATTATTCGTGAATCGAGGAGTGTTTTAGAGGAACGCGATTTTTATGGCATTGTTGCCGTGAAGAATGAACGAACGTATCCAACGATCGATTCTCAGGAATGGAGGTTGCGCGAAAAGTAGAAGATTGCAATAGTTCACTTACCAGAGAACAGTTCGAGGAATTCCTCGACCCCATAATCACCGGTGAACCTATAGCTTGGGTCGTTCAGAGAATCTTCACTGTGGACTTTGACGCGTTTTATCATGAAGCTGATGTTGTCCGGCTGGCCGTCTTGATTGAAATCTGCAAAATTTGAACGTGTATCAATTTCCTGGAATTTCTTCAAACTAAAAGAGCCACAGCAATAATCACGTTGAATCCAGTCCTCAGTTTCACCGAGTTCTATTATTGGATAGCATTTGCTGAATTATGTTTTAATCGAGTGTATTTTATCGCTGGTTTTAGATGTATTATTATAGTTATTTCACGGAATTTTAGTCTACAATCTAGCATTTGCTTCTCATCGGAATATTAATTACAGTCTTGGTGAATGGGAATCGTAAAATCTCGAGCTCCCGTGAATTAGAGCGAGTTTCAACGGCGGATTGGTAACGATATGCATCGATACCGCGAAATTCATAGGATTTGAGAGGAGCTACTCGCCGAGGTAACCGATAGCTGATAACGAAAATCACTGGGGCTCCAGACGAGTAATTTTCGGGTTCCCCCAGTGATCAGCGTATCCCCGAACGGTTCGGTGGTCGCGTGGCGGGAAGCATTTAATCAAACACCTTCTCCGCGGGAATGCCAATCGAAGCTGGAAAAACGGCGCCGTGACACGCGACCAACGATTCCTTTCCGCGGACGAATTTATGCGGAGCGTTCCTGATCTCGTGACTTTTCGAAGCGTAAAAATTACATACAGGTTACTCTGGCTCCCTTTCACCGTGCAGTACTAAAACTCCCGCCTTTCGAAACGCGAAGGAATGCTTTTCTATAATAATCAGATTCGAATACAATAGTAAAATACGTTAATGCTAGCAATTTGGAAAATAATTTGTATTAAAATTTTGAAAGGCGTCTTCTTTGTTAGACACGATATTAGGGGAACGGAATTACACCTCAGAAATATAGTCAGTCGCGTACACACGTAAGACGGAAGCTTCGTGGCGCTCCGGGGGGTTAAGGACTAAAACTAGCAGGATGCACTCGGGGAAGGCATTCGCGTACGATCTTCTGTCTCCTTAAGTAGCATGGTCCCATGGCAACGTTTCCAGATTGTCTGGTTGGCGCTGGTTACCAGTGTGCTCAAACATCAACGAGAGCCCCGTTACATCCATATCTCGCGTCCGACATACATGTGCTGTCGGCAATTAACGCTAAGTCCGTTGTATTCAAGTTTGATGTTGCATTAATCAGCTTTTGCGCTCCGTCGACGGTGGAAACGTAAGGGGCCGCGGTACAAGTTGAAGGAAGGGTTTCTTGGGCCGCTAAATAATGCAAATGAAGCGCTTGGGAACGGGGTTAAGTACCAGCGCCGCGTAGGAAGTTCAAGGTAGCGACGTCGAAACATTTATCGGGACGGTGAGCTCTCGTGCATGCGCTCGCGAGCAAGCTCTTTGCGACGATTCGGTGTTTTCGAATTGTTTGGATGCGAAACGGTGCGTTTCTCTCGTCCATCCAGTAGAGTCGGACTGTCAACGACCAGACAAGTAGATAGTATCAATCTCCGAGCAACCGAGTTGACCGTATCGGGCGCATGGTCAGCCAAGAAGATTATATCGGCTCGTGGTCAGTGGAGTAGATTACATCAGCTTGTGGCCAGCCTAGTGGAAAAGGCACGTGTCTGCACCGACCAGTAGAATAGGTCCGTTCTACGAGCGGACAGGTGGAGGAAATATATTCTTGGAGTGGCACGTTGACTGGAATCTGTTTTCGCGAAGTCAGAATATCACGGGGGCACGCGAGAAAAGTGAAATCGTGGAAATAAATTTCGGGCGAAATTATTATTTGTCATTATTCGCAAATTGACGATGAACGATTGTCGCGTTACGATTGCTTCGTGAATAATGTGAAGAGGGACGAGCGTATGGGTCGCGTCGATTCGTTCGAATCGCTCGGGAAAAATCAGTGCGAATTTATCTTCCGATTATGACACGTTATGACGTCGTAATGAGCTTATGTATGTTATTTAATAACAAAGGGCGTATTACTCCCGTGAAATTTGCGTTTCAATGATCCCGGTTCATGGAACTTTGAGATAAATGGACCTATGGATGTTGTTTCGAGTGCTGTGGCATGTACATTATTGTATTGTTATCTGAAATCAGTGGAAAAGGTCAGTTATTTGTAAGACGTATACTTGTGCAATCTGTTAATAGTAATTCTAAATATAACACACGAACGTATCGTTCGAACGAAGTGATATAGGTCAGTTAATAGCCAGTCAATCATATTACGTTGTTTTCCAATCCAGCAAAAGATTTCTAATAACGAAAAAGGTAAACGTATCTGTTGCCATTTAATCACAAACACCGTATTGTGCTCATTTGTACCATTTAATATTGAATATATGATTTATTCACGCGGCGTTGGTTGTCAAACAATCAATAGTTTTGTCTCCTTTGAAACAAGTGAAATAGATCAATTATCGGTCAAACACACGTATTATAAGCTTGTCTAACGTGGAAAGAAATGGATATCAGATGGAGATTTAATTCGTTTTTAATAATATTCGCAAATGTACCTGATACAATTCAGTTTTGATCGTCATAATGCGCCCATTTCTATTATTTAATAATGTTAAACGTATTGAAATTTGGCATTCGATGAAGCCAGGTCACGGAACATCAAATCGAATATCCACGCTTTATGCACATCACTGACGAAACAGCGTCCGTTTCCGTGTTTCTAAACGAAGTAGAATAGATCAGTCGTTGGTCAGACGATCGTAGGATTTTCTTTTTCAACTCCAAAAGAATTGTAACATTCCAACAATTTTCGACTTGTGTTTCAGAATAATTGTTAATTTTGAACAGTGTATTATGTTTGTTGGGTATTATTTAATAACGAGGCGCGTGTCACTGCTCGAAACTCTCGTTTCGACGTTGCCGTTCCACAGGCTGGTATCGTAAAAAATAACTCCACAAACAAATAGGAGGGGGATAACGCGTCGCGTGACAGCTGTCTCGGATATACCGCTCGGAAATAAAGTTTCCCTCTACGTGAGCCCGCGGATAAGGATCATAAACGCGGCGGTCAGCGTTCCACGTGTAATGACTAACGTTGGAACTTTCCAGCTTCGCTGATATCACCGGCAAGATAGCATTATCGCGGCAATTTTTTCCCCTGTCGCAATAAGAAGAACGCAATTTCGCGCACGAAGAGACCGTGCACAGAAATGTATTATTGCCGGGGCGATAGTTGCATTCATGGCTTCACCGTTTTCGCTGAGTTCATCGTGCTGTCTCGGCTCGAAATATAGCCACTGATGTTTTACTTTAGTCTCGCGGCCGTTTACGTCCTCCCCCACCCCCCCCTTGGGGAAAGGAAAAGTGTATGAATTAAATTTAGTGGCTGTTGTTTCTTTTATCAACGATTCTTTATCGGTGTATAAAATTGAAATGTTACGTTTCGACCCTTTCTTCTTTCTCCTTATCGTATATTTTATTAGTAGTTAAGAACTATAGTAGGAAATGCAAAAATAAAAATTGTGATATAGTTAATTTGTAATTTCACTAGGACACGGTGTGACTGATGGATTTATCTGCTTCCTCTTCAGTAACCGAACGCAACATAAAGTCGGTACCATATGTGATTTAATCGATAGGTTTTGCTCTTTGCTTTTGTAAATTCCGGACGAAAAATATTGACTCAGGAAATGTATTTTTCCCCAAGGAACTAATAAATCAGAAAATGGCACCGAGGAATTTCCTTCATGGAACCCGGGGACTGTTGTTCGAGCTCCTTCGGAAATACTTCGATTTCGAAGCTACACTTGATGCGCAAATGCAGTGTAACCAGCGAGTTCAAACTAATCAGTAAACAGAAGTTTCTAATTAAGTTAGCTAAGGACTTGAACAACCTGAGGGGGTAGAATAGTTGTAGTATACCGGTTGTGCTGTTAGAATTGTTGGTGTATTTACACTGGTCAAATTGAAAGGCACAAACGAAGATATGAGAATCAGAAAATTTCGCGAAACGATGTCAGAAATATTTTCTGTGTAATTTTAATTCACTGTTAATTACTCGACACTGGCGCCTCTCTATAGATCCTAGACTTCTCGTTTCTCGATACCCCAGGCTTACACGGGGAGGTTTATCTTTTACGCAATAATTGATTCAAGCAACCCTTGTATTAATTCGATTTTAAGTCTCACGAGGTTATACATATTTGAGTTTGATCTTCGAACCTTTGGTAGTTTCATTTTTGAAAAAGTAGCAGAACATTCGAAGAGGGTTTCGATGTTTTCGTTCAGCGAAGCTCCAGTGGGTAACTCAGTCAACGAATTCTTGGGTCGCTGGTGATCGCCGTGGGGCAATCAGCGGACAGAAGATCACGATGCAGAGGATGCGAGCCTTAATCGCAGCAATTCCGGATCTCTCGTCAGACAAGAGCGTTTAGCTGGCGGACGGCTTGTACATATCGCGATGGGGAAGAGAGTTAATGCCGTCTAATCCGGGGACAAAGGGAGGCACGTTCCGAGCGACATTTCCGAGGGGTGGTCGATCGGTCATCCGAAATGCTCGCGTGCAGAGATGGTCCTCCCCGATAATCGCGCGACCATCGTCCCGAAAGCTCGACGCGTTCCTGGCTTACCGTAGTGATGCCAGATTGAGCACCGGGTGCGCTACTCACACTATGCCAGATCACGCGTACGTGAGCTCGTGGAGTTTCGGAGAGTCGACAAAGGCAAACTGACACATGCCCCCTTTCTCGATTCTCCGAAGCTGCCCGAAGTAATTTCGGACCGTCTCGTGGGAGTCGAGAGAGGAAGGCTCATTTGCCTTCTCGCACTTGAACAACTGAAATTCGACCTCACGTCGACGGCATACGATTCCAAGTCTCGACTGGCCAGGTATTTTTTATTTTCCGACCTACGCATGGAGACGAACATAAGCAACATACTATAATGAACAAAATCGTAATGGTTATACGTTGGCAGATGTAGCAGATGTGATCTCGACTCCCACGAGACGGTCCGAAATTACTTCGGGCAGCTTCGGAGAATCGAGAAAGGGGGCATGTGTCAGTTTGCCTTTGTCGACTCTCCGAAAATTCACGAGCTCACGTACGCGTGATCTGGCATGTGTGAGTAGGGCACCGTCGGTGCTTTTCTGGCACCACTGGCTTACCGTACGCTCGCTACAGGGAAACGGGGTTGGACAGAGAGGATGTCCCGTGGATGGAGAAGGCAGGGGGGGGGGGGGAGGACGGAAACGTCGCCGGAAAACCGGCTTTATCCGCAAATCGCACGACGGAAGAGATAGGGAATTCTAAGTAATGCACTGGCCTGGGCCGCGCGTACGCGCGGTCACGCTACGTTAAACACGGCTCAGTCACGAGACACAAATATTTGCTCGCGTTGTTACGGCAGGTGGTGCTGCGTTTAAAGCCCTAGCCGCGCGCGGGGGCGGCGCCCGGAGAGTCGCTGTTACTTAATATTCGTCGGCCGCGCCGGCCAAATGAGATTTTCAGGAACGCTTTCCCCCTTGATTTCACCGTGAGTTTCGATTGTTTCTGCGCCCGGGACAGCAACGGTCGGAATATATTTACGAACGCGTACGAATCTGGTCCACCGAACGGATAAACCCGCGAAAATACTCGAGGAGGTTCTCGAAACGGTAAAATTTTATTCGAAAACCATAAGTTCGAGGGTCGAAGGTGCACCGTTTAGCCGTAATTCGTTCCAATAAGCGGGAGTGGAGCGAGACAGCCCGTGATCAGACAAGTAGATGAGTACCGCACAAAGGTCTGACATGTAGATCAATATCGCGTCTGTAGTCGGACGATTGAACAAGTTTATAGCGTGCAAGATAGACCCGTCATTTATCCGGACAGTGAGAAGCTAATTCCCGGCGCTACGAAGACGATCATTTTTTAAAAGTTTCGAAAAACAAACGGATACGTTTTCGATGGCGCCCGGTAGCTTTCCCCGTTCCCCTTTTTCATTCATTCTTGATAACCATCGTTCAAAGTTTACGAATTAGGTGTGTGTAGCGGCGCAATAAAGTTCCGCAGAATCAATCGGTCAACGTCAGGCACAGAAACTGACATTAATCGGTCGTAGAGCACGAAGGGACCGCGGTAAGGCTAAGGAACATTCATTTCCTCCGATCGCCGCTGGCAGAAAGTTAGTTTAACTGGAAGGTCCGGGGAAAGTTTTAATTGGTTTGCGAAGTTATTACAGCGGAATGAGACAGAAGACGCGCGCTTGTTAGCCAGAGAGGGAATGCTGCCGATTTCTGTGCCGCGGAGAGGGCGCGAGCTCCCCCGTCCTGCTTCCTAGCTGTCATTGCCATCATAGACTCTTCTTCCTATGATTTATTGAATTTAAACGGAATTATTTTCCGACGTTACGAGCGCCAAGTTGCTCCAAGTATGCGCAAACTTCAACGAGCCGTTCGATCTTCTTTGGGCGCCCGTCGTTCGTTCGATTGAAATTCTGTGTCGACAGACTCACCTGTGTACCTGTAAATGGAGTTGACACGCTGCACGTGGCGGGTCATCACTTCTATGCAGGCCTCCTCCGACTTGTAGTGATTGAAAAACGTGTGATCCGCTTGCAGATACAGCATGCAAGTCGTTTTCTTCGGGTCCACGGACGTCCGTTTTCGGAGGACCCTCGAATACCTAGCCCTGTACAGTCTGGGCAAGAGAAACAGAATTGGAACCTCATTCCACGTCAAAGAATGATTTTACGAGCATTATCGAGCATTTTTTACACTCCATTCGCACGATACATTTAACAATTTATTTAAATTCCACACTTTGATCGAGAGAGTTTGAAAGTTTTCACCGAGAAATGTTGGCACAGTCAATTTAACTGTGCGTTCCCATTTATTCGGCTTCAAACAAGTTTCATCCGATACGGTCCGATGGCGAATTTTAGTTTATTCCATTGCCGATACACCCGACGCCTCCGCCTCGCGTCTCCTCTGTCAGAAATTAGATTTTTAAATTTAAACCCGCCCCTCGAAAAAAAAAAGCTTCGGGCGCGGAATAACAAGATTCGTACTTCAAAGGCGAACGCGCAATTTCCAATTTATATTTGCGGGGCCGACCGCAACGGAAAAAAATAAAGAGTGCGATTTTTGCGCGGCGAGTGTCGGGGGTCTCGTCGATACGTGATCTGCAGCACCGAACAACAAATCAAACCTTTTGAAAAGAGTCGATGGCAGAAACGCCCCGATAAGGATTACCCCGGTCGCGGCAACGTTAAATTGGATCGGCGATAATGGTGTTTGCACTCGATTTTTGACGTTCTCATCGCAGCTCCCCACCCCCCTCCTCCGGCGTCGGGATAATCTGACTTTTCTCTGCCGGAAATAGGTGTGCCCTCTAAATGGAAGCGCAAGCATTGCACGGCAAACATTCCGTCGAATCGACGGGACGATAAGTAACCATTGCGCTTTTCTTCCCGACTGCTGGTAACTTTCTTCGGAACCTCGCCCCGTCCGAGGGCCTGCTAGAATATTTCATCGACGTGTTCACCGAGACGAGGTAAATGGAACGAGAGCGGAAGCGTTAAACCAACCGACGGAGGTCGAAAGGTACGAGGGAAAATGTTTGATCGAGAATCAACGACCGTGTATAACGTTCATCGGGTGTCTTCGGTTTTTTTGTACCGCCTTGCGTACGGTTGATATGGTGCTTTCGATTAATTTTCCACGCATGTTGCTTCGTTCCATCGCGATCTATTATGCGCTCGATGTTGATTAAAGATAGTATATAATTAGAACGAGATTCCACTCCCCAGATACACCAGTAGCGTCTATAGTCGGATACGTAGACCACTCGCTAATTGGAAAACCAAGTCGATTAGTAATTCATCGGTCAGACAAGTTGACCAGCGATGCGTTCGTCAGACGCGTAGATACGGGATTCATCGACCAGACAAGTGGAACAGTAAGCCACTGGTCGGCCCGGTAGACTACTGACTCGATCACCAGACGAATGGGCTGGAAATTATTAGGTGGACAAGTAGATTTGTAGCTCATTAGTCGGACAAGTAACTAATTGGTCAAACAAGTGGAGTAGTATCCCATTGATCGGGCAATTGGAGTAGTAGCTCATAGGGTTGACAAGTTGATAAGCGATACGTTTGTCAGACGCGTGGATATGGGACTCGCCGACCAAACAAGTGAAACAGTAAGCCACTGGTCGGCCCGGTAGACCACTGACTCGATCACTAGATGAATGGGTTGGCAATTATTAGGTGGACAAGTAGATTTGTAGCTCTTTAGTCGAACAAGTGGAGTAGGTAACCCACTGGTCGAACAAGTGAAGTAGTATTCCATTGATCGGACAAGTGGAGTAGTAGTTCATTAGTCAAACAATCGGAGCAACGCAGCATAAACGGCGAATTAAAGCATATACACGAGTTCATTTACCTGTCGAGGAGCTCCAGGTTGTGCGAGCTGGCGGTGGGGTCTTTCTTTCTGGCGTCCTTCGGATAGAAACCTGGCTTGGCGCGGGCGTTCCCCTCATTGTGGGATTGATAAACCGGCAGCATTGTGTCCCCGAGATATCCACTCCACGTCTTGTTCGTCCTGCAAACGATTTTTCGCCTGTAAGCGGGATTGGGAATGTACAACGGGTCCCAGTGAATCCCTCATGCTGAACGAATCGGCTCCGCTGGCCCGGGATAAACGAGAGAAATCGCTGGTAGTGCGGGCAGGAGAGATAAGGGTGACATATGTCGAATAATACATAACAGCCTGGGTGGCAATTTACTTGGGGGGGATCGTTCTCGTCGGAGACCTCCTTCGATTCGCCCAAGCTCGCTTCAAGACTGCGTCTGGTCACCCCTGTACTCGCCCAAGATTCGCCTAATGCTCTCTTTTTACACCGGTCTGCAGCTTTGTGTGATTTTTCACGAGTCTTTTATGCACCGACGCAGTTTCAGTTTTTATTGGTCTTTCGTTGCGCTCGTTTAATTTCTTCGTTGCATGTCGAGCGATTTTCAGAGCAGGCGCGACTTGTTTCAGCTTAAGTGTCGATTTGCGCTGCGCAGAACACGGGCGAACAATTCTTTTTCAACCATCAGTCACTGTACGTTTACACCGGGCATCTAACATTTCTCTTTTGTTGTGTTGCAAAAGTTCCCGCATTAGATTCGACAGAAAGTGAAATCGGGGCGGCACGGTCGAAAATTCTTTCGAAAGTTTGTCGCTGGAATAAGAAACGACGCTGAAACTTTCTTCGGGAGCGACGTCGATTAATTTTTTCAAGGTGGACGATTCGTTGTGCACGCGAATCCAAAGCGACCGTGGACAGAACAAACGGATGCAAACTCGGGCCACGCAACGGCCAATGGGAACCGTACGAACGAAAGTTTATGCGAGCAACGTCCAACTAGCGCACTACCGAACAGTTTATCTCGTCCAAGAGTAATCGGAACAACTCGTAGTCCCTCCTACCCCGTGTCGCCCCGGAAACTCTTCCTGGACCGCGGCAGTAAACGTTATCATTAATCGACGCCAAGAACCCTTCGAAATCAGCCTCCTCGAAACCTCTGTGCTCTAATTGTGGCGGCGTTCCGTCGCGCACGGCACACGAAAATCATCAGGTTTCCCTGGCAGCCTCTTTGAGCTACGGCGTCCCTACTAATTCTGTTAACTTCGACCGATAACGCTGCGCGATTAATAGCGCGCCGCTTTGACCTCCGTGATGCAGTAAGCCGCTTTGCGAGATCGAGCCACCGAGATGGAAGAGAGCAGCGCAAAAATGGAAAGCGTAAACCTCTGATGGCTGGCTAGTGTCATTTGAAATTCTATTAAACCGGTCGATGCGTGCTACCCGCTGATATTAACTTTATAACGGGTGTATTGGATGTATAACGCGGAGACGGGAGGATATTATGCGTCTAAATTGCACGGTAGACTCTCTTCTTAGCCACACTTTCGTGTGTGTAACGCGCGACGTCGTTTTCTAAACAGGACGTTGGATACTTTCACTTGCAATTTGTACTCTTCTAGGATTTAATGCACCTTCGGGGAACATGTTTTCGCAATACTGAACGTTGTATATCGCAGCACCAAATCCTTAATGAAGTCTGTGATAGCAAAATGTTATTAATGTGAAACTAGTCTGCATAGATCAGATGTTGGCAAGCAGGTCTGATTGGACTGGAGATTGTACTGTGCATGGATGAGAAGATGACTAATGGGTTTTCTGTGGACTCAGAGCAAGTAGATTGTACCGTGACCAATCAGACTCACTTGCCAACTTTTGATCTGTACACACTACATGTCTTGCATGCAGGGATTTCAAACAGAGCTGTTCCTTTGACTATAAGAACTGACTTTTGCACTTTCAGCTTCTTTCTAATAGTATTGATGTATTTATTTCTACTACCGACATGGATGTTCGGACTATTAATCGTCCACTTTAACGAATATTTCATCACCGTAGAGTCTATTTATAAAAAGTAACTTCCGTTCCGGGTTTGCATCCTGTTTAGCAATCGATTAATTTTGTCGCCTTCGTTAAATATTCCTGTCTATATTCTTGGCCCACTGATGCAACAAACGTCCGGTTTAAGTGCAGAAGCGCTTACCTAAGTTCGTCCAGCATGTTTTCCCGGAGGAGTTCGCTGGCACACGGGTATCCACCGGGACGAGGAACGCTCACGTCCACCGAACGATAGGCGATCGTGTGGTGGTGCTCGGTGTCAGTGGCGTCGTTACGCTCGCCATCCTGGCGATGGCACACCAACGGAGCGTATCTGCTGGCAGGTTCGATGTAGATCTCGTCGGACGCGGTGAAGATCGTTCCGTCGAAGAGGCCCTCCTCCGTCACGATCCCGTGAACCGACGAATTCTCATCGTCTGAAAGCAAACGAATGGAAGACGCACCGTTAATCCCGATATTACCGATTTTCACCGCGTGAAGATAAAACGATTCTCCCCACCCACTGTTCAAGTTTACGATATTTTCTTTTCTCGCCGTTACCGATACTCCTTTCTCGAAATCTTATCGTCCCGAGACGACGAGTGTTGCGTTGATATCTCCCAGCGGCCCTCCAAGTCGGCCCCGGCCATCTTTTTCCCGAGCCCGGCAACCGCGGCTCGTAAATCGTGAGATTTACGCGTGCAAGAGCCGCGTACGAGGGAATCAGCGTTTATATTACGTTTGCTCGGGGCTCTCCGTGGGCCCCCCGACGAGCAACCGTGAATTTATATTCGGTTGATTCGTTGCATCATCGTAACGTATCAGATCGATGACGCATCGACGGTTCACGCGCGTGCGACTCGGTCGTTCCGGTTTTTACGTCCTCCCGTTCTCGCCTCTTCACCCGCCGTTTTAAAACGCAAACCGCGAAGAAGAGTTTTTTCTGTGACGCGTTCCCGTTGCATCCAAACGACGAAAAATTTACGTAAACGCGCGTCTTGCGACACCGTGTGGCGTTCGCTGTTCGAGCCCGGTTTAATATCGCGATTAAACGAGTGCAAACGCCCACGGGAATGTATTATTCAGTGTTCGATAATTAATTGGCATTCGGTGAGGGTATTAAATGAGTGCCGGCGCACGTACGCGACACGATACGTGCCGGTTGTGTGTATTTAAATCGAAGGGATGAAAGGATCTAGTCCAATTCGTATTCTATTGCCAGTTCTATACTGTTCGGTGCAAAAGGAAGTAATAGGTCCGATTATATGCAGAATCATTGTCATTGTTCCTGATATTAATCTTCTTAACCGATCAAAGGGGAAAACGTATATCTTAACGGAATATCGGAGCACCCGTTAGATCCGTTTGTTTCATTCCCGGGAACCGTTCGAATCCGTCGACACTTTATCTCCATCATCTATTTAGATCCCTCTATTGGAAACCCCGAACGCATCGGAAACGTATTCCCGCGCACGCTCCTGGAATTTCTATGTCGATCAAATCGCGCCTGGTGAGCTTTTTGCTAGTCAAACTTACCGGCATTTTCCCGCAGGTGCGCGGCTAATTGAATTTTTTATACGCCAACGCGCGAGCTTCCGTAAAATTACTAACAATTGATTAATTCGAGGGAAATCGACGCCCCGTTTCGACTTGGCGGATAACGCGTCTTCAGAGAACGAGGAATTTTGACACCGTCAGCCACTCCGGAGCGGTCAGTTTCGATATAATCAATCGCCACGTTACACGGAATTCTATGGGTAATTCTACCAGCGGCCAGCAACGCCATTAACGTTGATTTCGACATGTATAGCAACACCGTTCGCAGCGTTTCGTTGTGCGGCGATATTGCGATTCGACCAGCGTTTACACGGAAACGTGGAATTTAAGCGACAAGTATAATTAGTATCCCTTCAAGTTTCCATGAAAACCGATCAACAATGGAACGATAATGGAGTGTATAAATTTGGCTGATTATCGAACGTGGGGAACGAAAATATTTTTGGTCCCCTGTCGACGTGCAAGAATCGAAAATGAAAAGCAACAATAGATAATACAAACCGTGGCTGGAAAGTCGCGGTTCCAGCCGGTCTATTTTCCTTTACGCGATCGATATGCGAATATTTTTAGTTGGAAAAATAATTTTACGATCCGCGATATTGGAGGGCGCGTACGGTTCTGAGAGTTCCACCGAGTACGTCGTTTCGTCGCGTGTTTTTACAATCGGCTCGTTGGACGATAAATTCCGAGACGACACCGGTCACGGTTTGCTTTAAAGATTTCCGTTTCGAGCCCCGATGTCCCGTGACCAGTTCGGTTATTCTTCTATAAGCGAGCGCAGCTGGGGATTGCTGGGAGTGCGGTCTCCTATCGGGACCCGAGCCCTTCGTTCCGTGTCGTTGTTGCCGAGAGCTCTGTGTACAAATAGACGGTAAAATGGCGAAAGTACATCGAAGAAATGGGGGAGAATCTCGCTCGACGAATAAGCTTTCGCTGCGATGTTTGCGGTTGCAAACACCGTGCAATTACGAGGAATATACTTTTAATTGGGAAGGATTTAACCCGGACAGATAAAGAAATGGAACTGAAAGGCTACCACAGAGAACGTCAATAGCTGCTTCTTTCTGCGTCCAAAATTCCTACCTCACCCTTACTGCACTCCAAAACCTCTGAAAAGTCTCAGAAACATTATACTGAGAAGATTATGATGAAATTCAAGGCGACAGTCTTTGGATCCGACGAAAACATGTATAATTAAGTAGAATCGACCATATATGGTCAGACGTGGACTAATATTTTCCGGTATTTCGTCGATGTCTGACCATATGTGCTCTTATACTACTTAGATATTTAATGTAAAGTCAATGACAAAGGGGCGAACAAATTTGTCTCGTCAGTTTAATGACAAAGTATCGCTTGACCAAGTGAAAATACTGAAAATGCACGCACCACAAGGGAACACATACTTTGGGCAGTGTTATGGTACAACCGAACAGGGCGGGTCGGATAAAACACGAATCTCGGAAATCACTCGACACTCCCACGTTGTATCTCTGTGAGCCAAAGGCGAATTCTAAAGAGCAAACATAGAGCCCCGGTGTTCAATGGTGACCAATCAACCGTGATGCGCCCGTGAGCGCAGCTGTATTCGTGTATCAATGAAAGCGTCGAGGCGCCGCTGGAGAACGGGAAGGAGGCGGGGCCTCATGTATTCGTTCAAGTGGAAACTATGTATTTCGGCGCATCGGTAAATCAATGGGCTTTTGATCGCGCCGCCTCGATAATTGCTGGCAGCTTCTAACTGGGTAGCCCGTCCGGGCTGCCAGGCTGACTCTAGTTACCAAGGTTGGCAACACTGCACCCGCCGCGATCCATTACCTTCGGTTATTCGAGCATATTACTGGCAGCGTGCCGGTTATTTTATCGAAAGAAAATTAATTCCGTGAAAAGTAACCACTTCCAGGAATAGGAATCGTCATCGTCATCAACGTTTTGCTCCGATCGCAACTCGAAACCTGCGCCGGGAAGTTAGATCAACATGGATTAGCGGTATTAAGTAACCAGATCCGGGGCAGGAGCAGCAGATAGCAAGATCCAAGTTGGGGATGTTAAGTAGTTTCAACTGGACTAGGGATGTTGGGTAGCTACACTTGCGTGAGGAATGCCAGGAATGCTAGGTGGTGATAACTGGGTTAGAGATGGTTGTTAGATCTGTGTTGGGGAGTAGCGGGGAACTAGATTCGTAATATCAGGTTGTTGGATCTGGGTTAGGGGTATTAGGTAGTTACACCTGCGCTGGAGGTGTTAAGTATCTACACGAAGGTTAGGAATTTCAGGAATACCGGATAGCGATAACCAGGTTAATTATGCCATTTGGGTCGGAGATGTTGAGTCTTCAGAACTTACCATACAAATTTCAGGCCATAGATGCTTTACCCTTCGGAAACAAGATCAGCTAGTTGGGGACTGGTTAATGTTTGAAGATTTTTCTGTGCCCTGCACGAACAGAGGAGTGTCGAGACCTCGAGGAAGGCCTGGGAGGAAACCTGTCTGTGGAAAATTTACTGTCGAAGGCCACGGTCGACACAGATAAGTGGGACCTATTCCTGGGGTTCTCTAAAAGAGTAATGGGGGCCAAAGAAACGAAGGAAAGAGAATATGAGCTGCAAACGAGAGCCCGTCCTGGCCCCTAAGGTACCCTCGTTAGTCTCGTTTTCTTTCACGGCGGGCTGATATTTACACGGGGCATACATAGCGTTTTTCATTTTCATCGATTACGATTCTGTTTCGTTTTATTTCACCCATTGATTTCATTGACTATCCGTAGCTAGTTATGGCTGTGGGGTACTTAGACCTGGGTTATGGATTAGAACTACTTGTACACGTTGGTTGCTCGAATCTGTTTTCTACATTTATTTCAAACCTACGCGAACGCAAACAGAATGTTTCAGAACGTGACTCTAATCAGTAGAATTTGGATCGTAGAACAAACAAAGCTTTGTGCCGAACAAAATGCAAAGGATAACGTCTTGTCCAATTTTGTCCAACTGGTCCGTAGTCTCTTCTCGAGGAAACTGCGACGGGGGGGAGTCGCGGCGGTAAACTCGTGTAATTGTTGAATCTCATTTGAATAGGGAAGTTCGTAATTCTCGGAAAAGTCTATTGTCGCCGGGGAAACCGTTGGCGACAAAGGAACCTGGATGAACGATTGAAGCTTTATACACGAATTATCGAGGTGCGTTTATAGCGAGGCTGAATAGGGACCGAGGGTGCCGATGGATGTAAACAGCCATCATTGTTTTAGACGTGAACCGTTGAAAGACGCCTTCCAGACAACTCTGTTTTATCAAACTTAATTGATCCGTCGCTAACTTGGTGTTAATAAACTTTTACGTACCATTTTATCCGTGGACCAATACAGACACAATGACTTTGTCGTTCGTGGATTAAATAAAAGGTGTTGCAAAGTCACTTTGCATTTCGAAGGGGTAAAAGAAACTTGAAACAAACGTCTTTACGTTTATTCTTGTCGCAAGTCTCGAACAGTCGACTGAATTGAAAATATAAAATGTTTGTTTTAAAGTTCCGCTTGTGGAACGACAATCTGCGAACTTTATGGGATTACGTGGCCCAATCTGATCGCCATACCGAACGGAAAATTTTTCGGCGAAAAAAAAATTTCAAATCGTGCTAAAAAAATTATTTTCTGTTGTAGGGGTCAATCACAATCATGTTTGGTGAATAGACATGGCCCCGAAATCCTAACCACTTAAGAGAAAAAAATTCCTTACTGAAGATGTAATGTCTGACCATAAATATTTCCCTGAAATTTCATCCGTATGTTTAAAATGTCATAACTCCTGAACGGATTGGAGGATTTTGATGTTTCAAAATGAAACAGAAAAATGGACCAAAAAAATACATTGGATGTAAGGTCTAC